TGAAATCTGAACATAACTATATGATTAGACCGTGTGTGTGTGTGTGTGTGTGTGTGTGTGTGTGTAACAGATTTATATGGGATAAATTCCTATTCATATCTAATTATATATTCAAAATACATCATTCGACGTATTTCAAACAGCTTTCAAGTCCATGATCGTTTGTTAATACAGACAACCCTTCATATTATCATAAATATTCAAAGGTCATTGGAATATTAAGTGAAATTATCTCGATTCATTTTCTTAGGGTGATATCAAATGCACCTGGCATCTAATCCGTTGTTGTCTATATCATCGTTATTTTTAACCATAATTAACACGAGTTATTGTTATTTTTTTCTGTTCATGTTTCATCATCAATGCTGTCGTCATTTAATTATCAGTAAGTTTATTGCTGCCGTTACTATTTTCATTGTCATTAGTAAACTGACATATTTTTTTCTATTTTATTTTATGCATTATTGTTATTCCTTTCACCACAGGAACCAGTTTCAGCACTATTACTAATATTTACTACTGCTACTGTTATCACTGTCATACACATGACTGCTATACTGTTATCATTATTACTAATTACCTGCATTATCTGTATTGTTATAATCATTATCATAAATATTTCAATTGTTAAATATTACTATCACTATGATAAACAACCATTTTCTTCTTCTGTTGATAGAAATAATCAATACTATTATCTTTATCTTAATCATTATAATTTTTGTTATGATTACCATTTACACCAATACGATGAATATCATGACAGTCATTATATGATAATGTACTGAATACTCACCGGTAATTGATGCCATTATCTTTTTCTTAATTCTATATTTTTGTTTCTAGTGTTAGGATTACAATTAATAGTGATATTATAATCATTGTTGCTATCATTATGTTTCAATCATGGAAGTTATTTTCTTTATCATTATTATTGTTATTACCATTTTATCAACACCATTATTATTACCATAAGTAGTGGTATCATCATTGGCGTCACCATTATCATTATCACGATTATCATGATCATTATTATTATCACTGTTATCATCAGCATTTTTATGATCATTGTTTTGATTATCATTATTGTTATCAGTACTGTCATTTTTACAAAAATCTAAATTGCTATCACAAAAGTGATAAACTAAACAAGTACAGTTGTTTTAAATATCATTATCATTATCATTATGCCCATGATTTTTCATTACTAATGTCATTATAGTCATCAGTGAATTATAAAAATTGCCATTACTCTCTCAAGCCTATTATCTGTCTATATCTAAACCTGTCTTAATAATGATATATATATATATATATATACATATATATATATATATATATATATATATATATATATATATATATGTATATACATATATATGTGTATATATATTACATAAATGTACGTATATATATATATATATATATATATATATATATATTATATATATATTAGATATGTATACTCTTAATATATGTATATATATATATATATATATATATATATATATATATATATATATATATATATATATATATATATATATATATATCTGTGTGTGTGTGTGTGTGTGTGTGTGTGTGTGTGTGTGTGTGTGTGTGTGTGTGTGTGTGTGTGTGTGTGAGTGTGTAGATGTATGTGTGTACATACATGCACATATGTATACCTATATATATATATACATGTGTGTAATAATATAATAGTAAATAGTAAATAGTAAATATTAATGCATGAATACCAAGTGACTGTATTTTCCTGTTCCATATTTTACTTGATTATTTGTAAGCGCTTGCAAATTAAAGTGATATAGGAAAGTTCTAAAAGTTTACGAGTGATAGATATATTTTATTAATTTAGAATTTGTGTGAGTCTCATCAGTTCTCACACTAATACTGGAATTATGTCCCTAAAGTAAGTGGTAATCAAGTTGCAGAATAAAGAAAAGTAGTTTTATTATTTCTTTCTTTTACATAAAAGTAATTTCGCAATATATTTTACATTTCGTTTAGTCATCGTCCTCCTCGTCATCATCAGCACGGAATTCAGCGTCGTCGTCGTCGTCGTCGTCGTCCTCGGCCATTTCACCGTCGGGTTTGGCGTCACGGAACTCTGGCAGAACGTTGTCCTCGACCACTCGGTAACCGAAGCGGTCGGCGACGTACTTGATGACGTATTCGTTGCCGTCGGGCGCTACCCACGAGTACTCGCCCTCCACGGCCGTTCCAGGGATGCCCTCCTGCTCGTGCTCCATGTGGTCCTCCTCGAAGTCGATGATGTCGGAGGGTCGGGCGGCGGCCAGGGCGACCAGACCCAGTGTGATAATGACCTGTCAAGACGATATATTTGACATAGGAATTGTGTTCCGATGTCTTTAAACCACATAAACTCATTGCATAATTTTACACTGAAACATATGACTTTCCAAATATCTACGAATTCAATCCTCGCTTTGTATAACATACCAGAGTTCTCATGGCTGTGTTGTGAGAGGAGACAAACTACTGAGTGCTGTCTGCGTCGGCTCCCAAATAAATAGTAGTCGCTCGCTACGACCTTGTAGCAGGGCATCTACAGCCTGCCTCGGGTTCCTGTTTCTGAACCTGTTTTTTCCCTGTTGTAGCTATAGTGAAATCTCCTTTTTCCCATTATGTCAACCCCATCATTAGGCAATTTTGTTAGAGTTATCCTTACATGATATAAGTCCAGAAAGTGATATGACACGTATCCACGGGTACGTACACACATATGTATCATCCAAAAAGTGTGTTTAAAGAAATGGTTTATCTGTGTGTGTGTATGTATACACTATATATATATATATATATATATATATATATATATATATATATATATATATATATATATATAATATATATATATATATATATATATTATATATATACATATATATACATATATAGGCGATTGCTATCTTGCAGACGTCATCCGGGTCAAACGCCGATAATAAGCACTCCGAAAGTAACCTATAGCATGAAATACCTTCCACAAGACCAAATAATACGCAGGTATGATAAATAAACATAATAAATATGCCTTATAAATGCATTGACAAACTATAGATTCCCGTGTTGCCGTTTCCATGCGTGTATATGTATATGAAAATTGATAATAAAAGTTTGTTTTCAGTTCATTCTGTGACTGTTTTCATTTTTATTTTGTGGACACGGTACTGAGTTTGTGCTTATGTCCATATATGAATATATAAGGGTGTGTGTATATATATTCATATGTACACACTCATTCACACACACACATATATATCTATAAACATATACTTGTGTGTGTGCACACAGGCACGCATACATATATATGAGCATATATATATGTGTGTGTGTGTATACATATACCAATACATGCATACATATATATATATACATATATATGTATATGTATATAGATACATATATATAAATGCATATAGATGCATATATATATATATATATATATATATATATATATATATATATATATACATATGTATGTATGCTTGTGTATACATATATATGTATATATGCATATACGTACATATATATGCATATATATATGTGTGTGTGTGTGTGTGTGTGTGTGTGTGTGTGTGTGTGTGTGTGTGTGTGTGTGTGTGTGTGTGTGTGTGTGTGTGTGTGTGTGTGTGTGTGTGCATTCATATATATATATATATATATATATATATATATATATATATAATATATATATATATATATATATACATATATATATATATATACATATATATACATATATACTTACATACACATATATGCAACAGGAACAACGAAGGGAAGGGCAAGAAAACACACGAATATGCCGAAGGCCTTTTACTATTGCTTCGTCAGGGCATATGCCCTGACGAAGCAATAGTAAAAAGGCCTTCGGCATATTCGTGTGTTTTCTTGCCCTTTCCTTCGTTGTTCCTGTTGCAATCTGTTCACCATGAATTCCATACACATGTATACATTTGTATGTATGTCTATACGCATATACATATATATATATATATATATATGTATGTGTGTGTGTGTGTGTGTGTGTGTGTGCGTACATTAGACACCTTGGAATTTCTGAGGATATACGCATGACATGTGCATGATAGATTCCACATGAGCCCTTATTCATGCACACTGTGGATCCTCTTGATGGCTATCTGTTTCTCATGACATGCCTTAAATCATTAATGTCTTATACGTTACTGTCTGAAAACAACAAAACAAAACAAAAAAAAAAAACGCAAAATTGTATTGCTAACGTCATAATTGTCTTTTCTTAATTAGATGATACTCTTCACAGAACTTTCATATTTATTCTGAGATCATTTGCATTGTAAAATCAAAAGGACTTCGAGAATCCAGGTTTGATGTAAAGCCTAATTGCCACCGAATAAAATGCTTTACTGTCTTGAAGGTCAGTCTCTGAAACAATTCATTATTCTAATGATTATGACTGAGATCATAAGGATGAAGTGATGAAATGGTTGAAGATAATGTTTATGATAATATTGAGAAAATGGAGATAATGCATGCTTTATTTCCGTTGATCATAATTCAGTATATAGGGCAATGGATGAATGAATATATAGGTTACTTGATAACTGATTTCATACTTCGATTTGATAAGGATCAAAATAAATTAATTTATGATGATCAAGATTATGAATGTGAGATTCAACTGGAAATTGGAATAGGTGGTAGCACATAAAATCATTGGTGTCGAAGTTGTGAATGTGTATTGCTGTCAACTGATAGTTAACAAATTATCATATGTGCTACTAATACTACTAGTATTAGTATCTTTTTAATTATCAGGATAATCTGTACCTGTGATTATTACCTTAACTTTCATTATCACATATTATCATTACCCTTATTTTCCTCCTCATCATCATGGTTTCCACTATTGACTTTGTTACTATTGTTATCATTGATGCAATGGACATTGGTTTTAGGTGAACTGTGAGAGCATTCGGTTACTAATGATCGAA